GTGGCCATGCGGGTGCTAGAGCTCTCCATCCCAGCCTCACCTGAGCAGATCCAGCACCTGGCAGGTGAAATTGCAAAGCGGGTCCGGAGCCTAGCGGATGTGGATACAATCCTGGCACGTACTGTAGGGGATGTACGTCGGGCTGAGCAGCTACTGCAGGATGCACAGCGGGCACGGTCTGACCCCAACCTGGCCCCTGGCCCCTATACCTAACACCTTGCCCTGGTACCTGTAGACCCTAATTCTCTCTTTTCCCCAGGAGCTGGGCTGAAGGTGAGAAACAGAAGGCAGAGACAGTACAGGAAGCACTAGAAGAGGCCCTGCGGGCACAAGGTGTTGCCCAGGGTGCCATCCAGAGAGCAATGGTTGACACACAGAACACAGAGCAGACCCTGCACCAGGTGTGTTCTCGCTAGGACATCAGTAGGGTGAGTGAGCCTGCGCCATAGATCTGTTTAACTCTGGGCCCACTCTTGGCAGGTACAGGAGAGGATGACAGGTGCCGAGCAATCTTTGAGCTCTGTAGGTGAGCGGGCTCAGCAATTGGATGCTCTCCTGGAGGCTTTAAAACTAAAATGGGCAGGAAATAGCCTGGCAGCCTCTACAGCTGAAGAAACAGCAAGCAGTGCCCACACTCGTGCCCAGGAAGCTGAGCAGGTAGGTCAGAGCAGAGCCAATTGGAGGAGGTAAGGGAAGTTGTTGGGTTCCCACTGGTCTCTTCCCTGAGACTGCCCTACATCCACAGCTGCTGCAGGGCCCAGTGGGTGATCAATACCAAACGGTGAAGGCCCTGGCAGAACGTAAGGCCCAGGGTGTGCTAGCTGCACAGGTGAGGGCAGAACAACTGCGGGATGAGGCTCGGGGCCTGTTGCAAGCGGCTCAGGACAAGCTGCAGCGACTACAGGGTGAGGAAGGAGTGGGTGGGTAGGAGGCAGGTAGGATTGGAGAAAGATTCTTAAACTGATATCTACCCCCCACCCCCAAGAACTGGAGGGTACCTACGAAGAGAACGAGCGTGCCCTGGAGGACAAGGCGGCTCAGCTGGACGGGCTGGAGGCCAGGATGCGCAGTGTGCTTCAAGCCATCAACCTGCAAGTCCAGATCTACAACACCTGCCAGTGACCCCTGCCAAGGGCCTATCCTGTCCCCAACCCCACAATGCGCTTCTGTCTGCCTACACATTAAAGAGCTCTCCGCCTGGCAAGGCGCCAGTAAATCAGTGAACTCTAGCTGTGTTTGTTGTCTGTATTCTTTTGGGACGGGCCTCCCTTCCGCAGAGCTCCAAGAGGACAAAGCGCCGCAGCCCCTCCTCCTCGATCCGCGGGCTTAGCGCTGCCCATCCCGAACGCCTGCTCCCCGGAAATGCGTCACAGGCTTGGCGCCCAGCCAGCGGCAGCAGTGACTGCAAGTAGAAACAAAACAAGCGGCTAAGATCGCGGCGGCGGTGGCGCTGGGACGGGGGAGGGGCGCGCCGGAACCGGAACCGACTTGACGCCGGAACCGGAATCGAGAGAGGGTTGCCAGGGCCTGAAGAGGGCTAGCAGCGGCTGTCTCGCTCGGTGAGTGGGGCGGGCCGCGACTCGTCCGTGTGGCTCCAGCGAGGAGGGTGCTGCGCCGGCCCGGCTTCTTCAAGGTCACGGGGTGTGCCAGCCCCGACATCTGGAGCCGAGCGGCTTGCTGGGCCCCCAGATGCCGGAGGAACCGTTACATTACGCCAGGGGCCGGTCTCGGTCCTCACAAGAGGACTGGCGGCGAGAGAGGGCTGTTTCCTATAAGAGGTGGTGGTGGGCCCGGGTTCAGAGGTTGGCACTGGTCTGTGGTCAGTAGCTTTGCACAGGCCTGGACAACCCCTTTCCCGCCTTGGTGTCCCTGAGCATGGGGAAGGATGAGACCTGTGCCTGAGATGTGGGTGTGAGAAGCAGGTGTCCACCCCCAACTCTGGACCTGTAATTACTAAAGATCCAGCTCACCAGTGCCACATCTGACCCCATCACCCTCCCCTCCCCCACAAGAACATAGGTTAGTCACTATAAGTCCTGCTACTTGGCTCAGACCAGGGCCTGAGATTCCCAAGAGTCCATGGTTTGGCCCTACCTTCATCTCAGTATCTGATTTTGAGAACTTTCTTTTGGATGGATGGTGAAGCTGACCAGAATTACTGGCAATTCCGTGGGAAACTGGGTAGAAGGACTCTGTAGCTCAGAGTTGATGAAGAGTGAAAGGACTTGGGAAAGAAGGTGATGTCTATTCTGGTCTCAACCTGGGTGCCTGTCATGCCTTAGTACTGGAGTCAGCCCCTTTCTGTGGCTGGCAGAGGTTCTTTCTTGGGTTAGAGAAAGACCAAGTACTACTTGGAGAAAGGCTATGTACTACTACCAAGTACTGTGTACTACCACCAAGTAGTACATAGGCGCAGGTTCATGACCAAAGTGAGAGCTGGCAGGAAGCAGAGGGTCATCTTTGCACCAGGACCTTTGTTGTGCAGTGGCAGCAGCTGGGCTGGACCTGTTTGTAGTCACAGCCTGGCTCTCCCTGCTGCCTAATGATACCTGGCTTTCCTGCCTTTCTCCTCCACCTTCTACTTTTCTAGGGGTGCCTGAGCAGCCAGTGAGAATGAAGGAAAAGGGTGCACCCTGCTTGAGAGAGCCATCACTGTGGACTTGAGCCATGGCTCCTGTCCAAAGCAGTCTGGTCTCAGGTCATGACTGTCTTGATCTGGTGCCTCCTCATAGAGGCTTCCAGATTTGAGGGACTATTATGACAGGTAATAAGTAGACTTGGCTGGAAGTGGTTGCTGCTACTTGCGTTAGTCCTCTTCAAAATAGCCTGAGAATATTCAGGACTCCTTTAGGTAATGAGGACATGTTGCTCTGTAGGGTTAGGAGTGTCCTGGATTGATGAGCCCTGGCTGTAACCAAGAAGCAAGTTGTTCAGCCTTGGCAGTGATCACTGGACCCTTTTCACCAGGCTGTCGGTTCCTTGCTGGAGAATTTAGCCACAAAGAGTTGCCAAGATAGCTGGGCCAGGAAGAAAGCGCCGCAGCCCTGACCCAGACGCTGTTGCCGACCCTGGGGCACTCTGGCTGTCAACTAAGTGGCTGAAGATGTCTGGAGGGACCAGTGCCACTGGCCCAAGGAGAGGGCCCCCAGGACTGGAGGAGGCCACTAGTAAGAAGAAGCAGAAGGATCAAGCAAACCAGGAGAGCAAGGATGGAGATCCTAGGAGAGGTGGGAGTGTTCATAACTTCCTTTTCTGTCCCTGTCACTGGGCATTCAGTAATAGTGGGTTGGGAGATACTTTTGCCACTTCCTTTGTCTTGGTCTGCTGCTGACTAAATGCCCAGTGGCAGGTTGGGTAGAGCCTCAGCTCTGAGCTTGGTACTTGGCTGAGATCCAGAAGATGGTATCTTGAGGTGGTGGGGTCTGGAAGGTTGGCTTCTTATCATTGCTTCCCTATTTTTTCCTTTGTTGTTAGGGTCACTGTCCACTCCTCGAGAGGAGCAGACTAAAGAAGGTGAGTAATAAATGAGACTTTTAAGCACTAAGCAAGGTGAGGGAGCACTGGGAATTTGGTTTGTATCTTGGAGCAGACCCATTAGGGCTGGGTCTCTGTTATGGGTTCATCCCCATCGTCATTTCCCATTACAGAGTTGTTGCTTGATTGGAGGCAGAGTGCAGATGAGGTGATTGTTAAGCTTCGTGTGGGAACTGGTCCACTACAGCTGGAGGAGGTGGATGCTGCCTTCACAGACACAGACTGTGTGGTGCGGCTTCCAGGTATGTCCGTCTGCCCTGAGCATAGCAGTATATTGGAATTTTCTGATTACTCCTGGCCCCAAGCTCACTGTCACTACTCTGTCTCCAGGTGGTCGGCAGTGGGGTGGTGTCTTCTATGCTGAGATAGAAAGTTCTTGCACCAAAGTGCAGACCCGAAAGGGTGGTCTCCTACAGCTGGCATTGCCTAAGAAGGTGCCTCTGCTCACTTGGCCCTCTCTTCTGGTGAGTTCTAGTACAGGGTAGAGTGGGGATACCAGATGTAGGTGATGGGGCTTAACTGTTGTATTTTTGGCAGAAGAAACCTCTAGAGACCCAGGAACTGGTATCAGGTCTGCGGCGCCAAGAGAATGGACAGGAGCTGTCTCCCATTGCCCTGGAGCCAGGCCCTGAGCTCCGCCGGGCTAAGCAAGAGGCCCGGAACCAAAAGAGAGCTCAGGGCCGTGGTGAGGTAGGCTCAGGGGCTGGCCCTGGGGTCCAGGCAGGGCCCAGCGCCAAGAGGGCTGTGCATCTCCGCAGAGGGCCAGAGGGGGAAAGGTCCAGGGATGGCCCTGGAACCCAGGGTGATACCCCACCCTTCCTGGCTGATCTGGACACCCAGGTGAGAGTTGGGTACTTTGTTTGGGTCTTAGGAGGTAGGGGGAAGGGGTGTGGACTAGAAGGGGGATCACCTGCTAGGCTTAAGGCTGATCCTACCCACAATCTTGCTATGAATAGGCTGAGGCTGAGGAACAACTCCAGGTACCACTGCTGAAACCCCAAACCTGCATCCTGGGCTCAGAGACGAATTTAGCCCTTTTGTCAGGAGAGAAGGCAGTCTTTCCCAAGAATGACCCAGTCTCCCCAGCCACGGTCCAAAGCAGAGATCCTGGGAAAGATGCCCATGTCAAAGAGGAGATGATAGAACCAGCAGATGTTGCAGCTGTGGCAGATGATAAAGGTAGGGCTGGAAGTGGGCAGGTGGAGCCCTAGTTTGGGTTGCAGGATTGGTGGTTGGGTAGGGAGTAGACTAGAAATAAGCTAGAATCTGTTCTGGAACTGAGCCATGGTCTCAACATAGAGCCTGAGTCCATGGTGAACCTGGCATTTGTCAAGAATGACTCATACGAGAAGGGGCCAGATTCAGTGGTGGTGCACGTGTATGTGAAGGAGATCCAAAGGGACACCTCTCGAGTACTTTTCCGGGAGCAGGACTTCACACTCATCTTCCAGACCAGGTATGTGGTGGGGCAGGAGCTGGGGCAGACAGTGCTCCTCAAATGAGGCCTCACATCTCATGGTCTTCTTTTTGTCCACTCTCCTGTCCTGCTCTGCCTCTGTAGGGATAGAAACTTCCTGAGGCTGCATCCGGGCTGTGGGCCCCACACCATCTTCCGTTGGCAGGTGAAACTCAGGTGGGTGGTGCTCGGACCTGTCACTGTGCCTGTCCCACCCGGGGCTCCCATCTCCCTGGACTGTCAAACCTGATAGCAACTTTACCTAAGTGCCTGAGCTCAGCCTTTTTCTGCAGGAACCTGATTGAACCAGAGCAGTGCACCTTCTGTTTCACGGCCTCTCGAATCGACATCTGCCTCCGTAAGCGGCAGAGTCAGCGCTGGGGGGGCCTGGAGGCCCCGGCTGCACGAGGTCTGCATACGAGCTCCCTTCATTGCCCAGTCCTCCATGACCAGGATCCCCACCTCTGCCACACGCTGCTAACCACCAGCCCCCCTATTCCCCCTTTTTAAGGTGCAGTGGGTGGTGCAAAGGTTGCCGTGCCGACGGGTCCAACCCCTCTGGAGTCAGCACCTCCTGGAGGTCCTCCACACCCTCTGACAAGCCAGGAGGAAGCTCGAGCTATGGAGAAGGACAAAACTAAGGCTCGATCTGAGGATGTGGAGCTGGATAGCGTGGCCGCTCGCACCCCCTTGGAGCATGTGTCCCCGAAGCCAGAACCACACCTGGCCTCGGTGAGACTCCTGGGTTGGGAAGGGCCAAGAATGGAGGCTAGTAGGGTATGGTGGGATTACACCTGTAATCCCATCACTTGGAAGGCTGAGGCAGGATGATGATTAAGAGTTAGAGGGCAGCCTGATCTACATGAGACCCTTTCTAAACCTGCCCCGGCAAAAGAATGGAGGGTGGAGAGCCCCAGGGTTGCTCTCTCATGTCTTCTTTGCTCCCACAGCCCAAGCCCACATGTATGGTGCCCCCAATGCCCCACAGCCCTGTGAGTGGAGACAGTGTAGAGGAGGAAGAGGAGGAAGAGAAGAAGGTGTGTCTGCCAGGATTCACCGGCCTTGTTAATTTAGGCAACACCTGCTTCATGAACAGTGTCATTCAGTCTCTGTCTAACACTCGGGAGCTTCGGGACTTCTTCCACGGTGAGGTTAGGGCCTGCAACCTGGGGCAGAGGCAGAAAGGATGCTTTTATTTCTCACACCTCGGTTTGGCTGCTCTTCCTAGACCGCTCCTTTGAGGCTGAGATCAACTACAACAACCCGCTGGGGACTGGTGGGCGTTTGGCCATTGGGTTTGCTGTGCTGCTTCGGGCCCTGTGGAAGGGCACTCACCATGCCTTTCAGCCTTCCAAGTTGAAGGTGATCTGGAGAGGGCAGGGAGAGCTGGCCAGCTGGATGTATAGGGGGTACTATGGTTTCACGCTCACACCTTGGTCCCTGTGTCCAGGCCATTGTGGCAAGCAAGGCCAGCCAATTCACAGGCTATGCCCAGCATGATGCACAGGAATTCATGGCTTTCCTGCTGGATGGGCTACATGAGGACCTGAATCGAATCCAGAACAAGCCCTACACAGAGACGGTGGACTCAGATGGGCGGCCTGATGAGGTTAGGGTGGAGGTCAGGGTGGGTGTGTCTTGTGTGCACTCTGTCGCTTTGTGTCTTTGGTTCTCACCACCATTTTCCTCAGGTGGTGGCTGCAGAAGCATGGCAGCGGCACAAGTTGAGGAATGACTCTTTCATCGTGGACCTGTTTCAGGGCCAGTACAAGTCAAAGCTGGTGTGCCCTGTGTGTGCCAAGGTGTGATGGACTTCCCTCAGAACATCCCATAACCCCAGTACTGCAAAAAGGAAGAGGTCCCTAGTTGGGCTCAGTTTGCCTCAGTTCGGGTGAGATCAGGTCCAGAGACATGCATTTTCAGGTACTTCAGGGCAACAATGGGGTAAGGAATCTGGCATCGAAGCCTTAGGCTCTTTGGGGCTAAAGGGTTTAGGTAGGGTAGGCTTCCTTGGTGAGATAAAGGCTTAAAGATGTAGGGCCAAGGATTTAGCTTAATGGTTCTGGCACCTGCATCACAAGCACAAAGGCCAGAGTTGGATCCCTGGTACAAACAAAAACAAAAACAAAAAGATGTAGTTTAGCAGGAGTGGCAGGGTAAGATCAGAAGGGCACATGGGATACAGGTAAAAAGAAAACTAGGTGGCTAAACTGCCAGGATTGTGATTTCCTGTTTCATTTAGTGTTACTGAGAGTTTGCTGGTTGGCTGTGAGGGTCCTGAGAACTGTGAGAGGGCCCAGATGAGGCTTTCTGGGCATGAGCATCTTGTCTTTGCATAGCCACTCTAATGCCATCTGTATTCACAGGTCTCCATCACTTTTGACCCTTTCCTTTATCTGCCGGTGCCCTTGCCACAGAAGCAAAAGGTTCTTCCCATCTTTTATTTTGCCCGAGAGCCCCACTTCAAACCTATCAAGGTGAGGAGTAAGTCCCTCCCCTCTAAGCTGTCCCAGGGAACCTGGCCCACATCCCCCACTGACTCCACCCATGTCACCACAGTTCCTGGTGAGTGTTAGCAAGGAGAACTCCAGTGCGAGTGAAGTTTTGGATTCGCTCTCTCAGAGCGTCCACGTGAAGCCTGAGAACCTGCGCCTGGCTGAGGTATGCCTGTGTTTTCCCAGGCTCTTATATGTGTAGAAATACGTATGTACAGATGAGTATAGTTATTGGCAGGTGTGCATATGTATGATCACACAAGAGATGCAGGAATTGCACTCTTGTTTGAGGCACTGTTGAAACCAGGCATTGGGCTATGTCAGAGGTGCCCTTGTCAGCTGTGTCAGTTTCTCCCTTTTTTGTTAGTGGACCTTAACCTGTTTTCATCTTCATTTAAGAAGCTTCAGCTGCAAAAGTCCCACCATTGTGTTTCTTCTTCCATCTACTGCTTTCTCATTTTGTTCCACATCTACATGCTGGCCCTCCCTGAAATTTCTTAGCCTTTAGCCTGGCAGCACCATTTGGCTGGAATGGGGTTAAGGGTGGGGAGGAGCAGAGCTAGGGAAAGGGCTTATTCTCACATGGGATCTGTGTGTCCATTGTCCCCAGGTGATTAAGAATCGCTTTCACCGTGTGTTTCTCCCTTCCCAATCCCTGGACACTGTGTCCCCATCTGACATACTCCTCTGCTTTGAGCTGCTATCCCCAGAGTTGGCTAAGGAGCGGGTAGTGGTGCTAGAGGTACAGCAGGTGAGTGGGGGCTGACCTGCTAACACCGCACCCTGGTGGGGAGGGCATTCCTCCTCAGCCTTGCTAAGTCAAACGACCCATCCTAGCGCCCCCAGGTGCCCAGCATCCCCATCTCCAAGTGTGCAGCCTGCCAGCGGAAGCAGCAGTCAGAGGATGAAAAACTGAAACGCTGTACCCGGTGCTACCGTGTGGGCTACTGCAACCAGTGAGGACCCCCTGGTTTCCCCTCACTCTTCCTCTCCTTCCACTTGTCACCATGCCCTGCCCTTACACACAAAGACACATATGTTTTAAGCCTTCCTCCTGCTACCCTACTTTACTAGACTCTAGGGAGGAAGAGCTGGCCTGCCCAATTGCCAGGGTCTCAGACTAGCCTCCAATATATAGTCATAGGAGTTGGGGCTGTAGCAGTCTTTATCTTCCCCTGCTGTCCAGGCTCTGCCAGAAAAACCACTGGCCTGACCATAAGGGCCTCTGCCGCCCTGAGAACATTGGCTACCCCTTCCTGGTCAGTGTACCTGCCTCACGCCTCACTTATGCTCGTCTGACCCAGTTGCTAGAAGGTTATGCCCGGTAAGTGCCTAGAGGTTGGAGTAGGGTGGGGTGGTGGAGGAACGAGGTACTCAGAGGCACTGGATGGGCTAGAGAGCACTTAACATACTTTGCTGTCTGTTGCCAGATACTCAGTGAGTGTATTCCAGCCACCTTTCCAGCCTGGCCGGATGGCCTTGGAGTCCCAGAGCCCTGGCTGCACCACACTGCTCTCTTCTAGCTCCCTGGAGGCTGGGGACAGTGAGAGGGAGCTTATTCAGCCTCCAGAGCTCCAGTTGGTGGCTGAAGGGGACACAGGAGTTCCCCGAGTGTGGGCAGCTCCTGATCGGGGGCCTATGGCTAGCACCAGTGGGATTTCTTCTGAGATGCTGACCAGTGGGACCATTGAGAGTGGCTCCTTGATTGTTGGTGAGAGGGTGACCCGACCTGAAGGTAGGAGCCAGCAAAAGGCTCTGAGGGCTGGGGTGGGGGCAGGGGTGGCTGGGGATAATGATTTTGATTTGGTGGGTAGAGGGTGCTCTGATTATCATGTTCTCTCGTAGCTGCTGTGCCTGGTTACCAACACCCAAGTGAAGCCATAAATGCCCACACACCCCAGTTCTTCATCTATAAAGTTGATTCATCTAACCGAGAACAGCGGCTAGAGGACAAAGGTGTTTGAGTCTGTGGGTGGAAGCCATGGGGTAGGTTGGGCTGCTTGTTCTCCACAGGTGCATGACCCCTTTTCCTGCTTATCTCTAGGGGAGACCCCACTGGAGTTGGGTGATGACTGTAGTCTGGCTCTGGTCTGGCGGAACAATGAGCGCCTGCCGGAGTTTGTCTTGGTAGCTTCCAAGGAGCTAGAATGTGCTGAGGACCCAGGCTCTGCTGGTGAGGCTGCCCGTGCTGGCCACTTCACCTTGGACCAGTGCCTCAACCTCTTCACACGGCCTGAGGTGCTGGCACCTGAGGAGGCCTGGTGAGAGCAGGGCAGTGGGCATGGTGGTGGGCCCAGTGGAGGGAGAACATGCTGGTCCTGAGCCCTCTTATGTCCCTTAACAGGTACTGCCCACAGTGCAAACAGCACCGGGAAGCCTCCAAGCAGCTGCTGTTGTGGCGCCTGCCCAATGTGCTTATTGTGCAGCTCAAGCGCTTCTCTTTCCGTAGTTTCATCTGGCGTGATAAGATCAATGACTTAGTGGAGTTTCCTGTTCGGTGAGCAATGGTCTCTGGTAACTAGATAGGATGGGGGGACCAGGGGACACCCTGGGCACCTGCTGACTATCTTTCTCTCATTGGGACTACAGGAACCTGGACCTGAGCAAGTTCTGCATTGGTCAGAAAGAGGAGCAGCTGCCCAGCTATGACCTATATGCTGTCATTAACCATTATGGAGGCATGATTGGTGGCCACTACACAGCCTGTGCACGCTTGCCTAATGATCGCAGCAGCCAGCGCAGTGACGTGGGTGAGGGCACACAGCCAGTTGGATAGGTGTTAAGGTGGTGCTGCAGGTTATGTTCACACTCTTCCCATCCTGCTGTAGGCTGGCGCTTGTTTGATGACAGCACGGTGACGACAGTAGACGAGAGCCAGGTTGTGACCCGTTATGCCTATGTACTCTTCTACCGCCGACGGAACTCTCCTGTGGAGAGGCCCCCCAGGGCAGGTCACTCTGAGCACCACCCAGACCTAGACCCTGCAGCTGAGGTTGCTGCCAGCCAGGTGAGGCATGGGGGAAGCTTTGTAGGTTAGTTGGGGCCAACTCAGATTGCGGAGAGTTGGGGGATATAGCTGCTCCTCTAGTCATAGACCCTTCAAGCTTTGGAACCGGCAGAAGTTACAGAAAGGGTTCTCTACCATCAGAGCCTCATTTAGAGGCATCCTGGTCCCCAAGGGACACTCAAAAGGTGCGTGTCACTAACATGCTCCACTAATATGCATAAAGGCTGTGAGTCTCACCAGGTACTGTGTTGTGAACAGACTGTATCTGACTTCTCCCAGCTCTTCTCTACATGTTCCTCACATTCTAGCCTACAGACCTGCTCTTGGGATTTGTCTCTGTGTTCTGGCTTGTACTCAAGATAGAGCCTGTCAGGGCTGGTCACAGTGTCTGGTAGCTGTCACACTCTGGGTTGAGCAGCTATCCCAAGTGATCCTTCAGGGCCTTCTGTCTCTTACTGACATCGTGTGCTTTAGAACCATTTGGTAGGCATAGTTTTCCCACTTTTCTGGACTGCCAGCCTTCTCACTTGATCGCATTCTATCATTCTCTATCTGAGAACTGTGGTCAGGATTTGGATTGGGGAGTCCCCCCAGGAGATTGCCTTGGGGTTGGCAGGCCCATCCTCCATAAAGCAGTCCCTTCTGTGGGAGTAAAAAATTGACCAGATGTGCTCCCTCACCCATCCCCAAGAGAAGCTTCATATGGATTGGGAGGCTGTCTTGAGGCCAAAAGACTCAGGATTCTCACACCCTCATCTGCATAGGCTAGACAACCCTAAGACTTAGTACCTGCTCATCTCTCTGCTGCCCCAGTCACCCAGGCAGGGCTGTCGTAGCCAGGGGTCTTGGGGACACTGGGTCCTCCCTAATCCCCCTGGGTTCTAACGGACGTTTCCACATACCATAGGCTTCCCGGATTTGGCAGGAGCTCGAGGCCGAGGAGGAACTGGTGCCTGAGGGGCCTGGGCCTATGGGTCCCTGGGGACCCCAAGACTGGGTGGGCCCCCCATCACGTGGCCCTACCACACCAGATGAGGGCTGCCTCCGATACTTTGTCCTTGGCACTGTGGCCGCTTTGGTGGCCCTAGTGCTCAACGTGTTCTATCCTCTGGTATCTCAGAGTCGCTGGAGATGAGCTCACCTGCAGACAGCTGCTAGGAGCTGGCCTACCTGTCCACCCACCAGGCAGTGACTGGTTTTGTGGTGGGGAACAGCACTCAGCTTTGGGCCTTAGTGTGTACATCTGGTGGGAGAGGGGGGACTGTGACCTCTGCAGGGGCAGAACATCCCAGGTTGAGTATCCATCTAGCTGTCTCTCTCTTCCTACTGCTGCACTGACCCTTGGCCTGGAGTTTGGTGCCACCCAAGTTACTTCCTGTATTTAAACCGTTAATAAAGCAAGACTATTCAGGCCTGATCTCGTCTCTGTCTCAATACTGCTGCTATCTGCGCCTGCCTTGGGACCCTCCCTTGGGTGCCAGGTCTCTGAGCCAGCACCCCCGGGATGCCAGGCAAGCATACTGGGCAGCCCCCAACCCCTGTCCTCGTATTCTGTTGCAGGGACTAGGCCCTGGCCAGGCCCCAGAGGTGGCCCCCACGCGGACAGCCCCTGAACGCTACGCCCCCCCTGTGGACCGCCCAGCCCCCACCTACAGCAACATGGAGGAGGTCGATTAGCAGGTCCCTGGCTGATGGGAAACTGGGTCTGGGGATCCCCTTCAGAGGGCCCTTTCTTTGCCGCTTCTCTTCTTTTGCCGGAGGACACTGGCTACATCAGTGGGGAGTTTGGGGTTATAATTTGGGGGTGGGAACCTCATAGTTGTGACCTCATTAGCTTGGTCCCCTGACCAGTGGGCCTTGGCTTCTCCAGTCTGCCTCCAGTGCTGTGTGATTTGATTCTCAGTTGTACCTTCAATTCTTCCTGACCCGCATTATAAATGTTATAATTTTATTCTAAAAATTGTAATTTTTTTTGCATTTTGAAAGTGATTGCTGCTGTTTAAATATATTTTAAAAATAAATAATAAATAATCAGACGACTTAGTGACTGATCTACCACATGCTGTGGCTACCTACACAACTCCATCATGTTATGTGTGTGTATCTGTCTGTTGGAGAGACCCTGAAAATGCTGTAGGCTGAGGAGCACTTGAGTGGTTGCAGCTCACTCCTGGTGGGCCATGAAGGCCCCCGTGCCATCACCTCTGAAACCTACCCGCTGCCCTGTCATTCCACTGGTTCAGGGTCTCATGTAGAGGTGACTGTAGCTAGCATCACTGTCAAGATCTCAGGATATCTAGGGAAGAGGAAAATTCCATTAATCTCTGGATTATAGCATGGAGTGAACGGGGCAGCCACTGGAGCACCTTGGGCCTGACAGCCAGACAACAGGTTGGGAAGGACTTTGTAAGGGATGGAGCCAATCCACCTCCCTTCATATTACTACCTTTTTCTTTGCTTTTGTTTGAATACCATCTGCAATCCTCAGCGGGGAATAGAACTGAAGGAAAACTTGTGAGACCCATGGGTAGTGGTGTACACCTGTAATCCCAGGAGTCTGGGAGGCTGAGGCAGGAGGATCTCAAATTTAAGCCTAGCCTGGACAATTTAGTGGTTTAGTGAGACATTGTCTCAAGTTTTTTTGTTTTTGTTTTTTGCAGTACTGGGGATTGAACTCAGGACTTTGCACTTGACAGGCAGGTGTGGCACCACTGAGCTACATCCCTGGCCCCATGTCTTAAAATATTAAGTAAATAAATGGCCTGGGGTTGTAGGGACATGTGAAGGCCCCAAGTTTAATCTCCAATAATGGAAAGATACTGGAGGGAGATTATAAATAAGGAGTGGGATAGTGGGGGGATCAGTGAGGAAGATCTGAAAAGAGGATAGGCAGAACCAGAGTAAATCTTACTTTGATTTTCTGCGTGAGTGTGCTAGGCTCCGCTAAACTACTTCTTCCCTTAGTCCTTGAGCCCTTGACTCCTTGTAACTGACCTAGGATATTCACCCAAGCTTCAGAGCTTCTGCAACTTTGTATATACAACTTGTAAGAAGGCCCCTTGCCTCCCTCTGGATAATGTTGCTCCTTACACTCTAATTGGAGAATAGGATGCTGATCTCTAATTGGTGGGAGATAGGGAGCAGAGGTACTTACAAAGATGGTATTTAGAGGAACCAGAGAGGGAATAAGAGGCAGAGGCGAGGCAGGGTCCTGGCAACACAGAAGCTCCATCCCCATTCTAAGTCCATGGAACAGGTCTCATGAAGGTTAGCATGTAGGCCTTGCTGGTAGTACTCAGCCTCAGACAGAGTTAGGGGTAGTGCCATGCTTAGTGGCACTGCTAAAGCTACTACTTAATTCTGTTACATAGAGCTGTAGTCCCATGAGGGAACCAGGGAGTGCAGGTTCTGCCTTGGGCCATGACCAGACTTGCAGGACTTTGTCATGGTGATCATGTTGCAATGGATCTTTTGGTAGCAATCAGGTACCACCACGGGAACAGTGGCAGCAGTAGCACTTTGCCAGGCTATGTTTATCATGGTTGTTTTTAAAATTTCTAATTTAATTTTATTTTTCTTTATTGGCACATTTTAGGTATACAGTAGTTACATTCATCATTGGGATCTAGCACCCTTTTTATTTTTATTTTTTTGTATTAGTGGGGATTGAACCCAGGAACTTCACACTGATTTACATCCCTAGCCCTGTTTTAATTTTTTGGTTGAGGATTAAACCCAGGGCCTTTGCATTGAGTTACATCCTCTTTTTTTTTTATTATTTTGAGATAGGGTCTGTTGCCTAGATTGGCCTCAAACTCATGGCAAATCATTCCTGCTTCAGCCTCATGAGTGCTGGAATTATAGGCATATGCCACTATGCCTAGGAGGCCTTGAAATTGTGGGTGGGAGGATCCTAGAGTTCTAAGATTATAGATGTGTACAGCCATGCTTGGCTTCTAGCCTTTTTTTTTTTAATTTCATTTTGAGATAAAGTCTTACTACATTGCTTCAAAGTCAATCTTAGGATGGGGATCTAGCTCAGTGGTACCACTGCCTGCCTTGCAAACACAAGGTCCTGAGTTTGATCCCTGGTATCAAAAAACCCCAAAACAAAGCAAAATCTGTCTTCGCATCAGTCTCCTGAGTAGCTGGGATTACAGGTGTATGTCACCATATCCAGCCATCATGGGTGTCTTTGTGTTGGGCTGGACACCTGTAACTGCAGACTTGGTTTAGGGGTAGTGTGGCTATAACTCTGTTCCTTGGTATTTCATCATGGCACTCTGCATTGCATCTTCTACTTAACTTTTGCTCCTGGCCTTCATTGTACAGCGCACTCTAGGGCTGGCTATCAGGCTGGGTCCCAGGGACCAGAGAAAAGTGCAAAGCCTCAGGATATAGATTGGATCTGGATACCAATGCAGCATGTAGCCCTGGATGAAACTTGGCATGTGGTTATCATGTAGCACTCAAATACAAGCCCAGACAAGGAACTTGGACATTGGTGAGATGTGGGTACAAAGCAATCAGGTTACACACTAGTCAGGATCCTACTCAGTTCTGGAAGATCCAGAATTATGGGTGAAACCAAGGCTTCCAAGCACCTGAGCCCCAATCCCAAATTCGAGAATTTCCACTTGATCCCACCACCAAAGCTTATTCTCTCACCGTTTGTGTGCGTGGGTGTGTGTTGTGTGTGTAATGGGGATCGAACTTAGGATCTTGTGCTTACTAGGCAGGCACGATGCCACTGAGCAAAATCCCCAGCCCTCTCCCACCCTTTACATGAAAAATAGTCTGCACATTGTTTTAGACAGTAGGTCCTATAGGCTGGGGATTTAGCTCAGTGGTTCCGCCGCCTGCCTCACAAGAGCAAAGACCAGAGTTCAATCCCCAGTACCAAAAACAAAAAAAGAACAAAAACAGTAGGTCCTAGAAGTCTGGTGAGACTCTGGGGAGACCTCCAAGGACAACAGCCATAGTCCTTAGTGTTCCATCTTTTTTGTCCCACCCTGAAGGCAGGCAGAGGGATTTTAAGGTCTAATATGCTAGTGGTTTTTGTGAAATTTGTATACTTTGAAAAGAGGGGTAAATGTGGCACGAGATTTTAAACTGAATGATGACAAAACCATTAATTCTCTCCTGGCCCAAAATCCTTCCCTTACCTCTCCTGGCTGTATCCCTGTGGGCACCTAAAGAGTGCTGGATTTATGTGGTGTCTCTCGATAAACCATTCTGCATACTTTCTGCAGTGGATCCAGACAAGGGATTTCCCGTGCCACTTTTTGCTTAACTGTTTCCATGACAACTCTAAAGCTGTGACGTCAGAAATGCGACGGGAACTCACATTTACTCCCTAAGAACAAGACTGGGATAGGTTCTCAGGGCTGAAGTAGGAAACTCAGAGCAAAAGGCCACGCCGTGTCTTCCTCCTGGGGCGGTGCGGAACGCTTTCCCTCGGGCCAGAGGAAAACCTTTGCCATTCCCCTTGACTCAACCCCTCCAGTGGGCCACGACCACTGAGCCGAAAGGCAGGGAACCGGAAAAGCCAGTACATCAGCTCGCAGACCCTTAACTGGCGCAATCCCCTTTAAGCCACTCCCCCCAGTGGAAAAAAAGTACACTATTGGCTCTCCCTGAGAGCTTCCTTCTTATTGGTGAGTAGGCAAATGCCAACGTGCGGATTCTGCCCAGAGTTTCTTTCGGTTTCCGGTGTTTCTGAGATGGCTACTCCCGACTCCCTAGCGCTTTTCACCGGCCTTGGCCTGAGCGAACCAAAGGCCCGCGAGACGCTAAAGAACGCGGTTCTGAGTACGCAATTGCGTGAGGCGGCAACCCAGGTGCGAGTCCCCTTTGCCCATTGGCCAGGGCCGCTGACAATGCCCCACAGCCGCGTGGAGCTGGGTCCAGATCCTGACCTACACAGTGTTCTCTTGCCTCTGATTGGACGTGGTGCTTCTCCCCTGACCCCAGGCGCAGCAGACTCTGGGCTCCACCATCGACAAAACTACGGGGACCCTGCTGTATGGCTTAGCCTCCCGACTCAGGGATACCAGGCGTCTCTCTTTCCTTGTGAGCTACATAGCCAGTAAGAAGATCCACGCTGAGCCCCAGCTGAGCGGTGAGACACCTGGCTGTAGCTATTTCCACCCCACCCCCTCCATTCAGCCGGCACCCCTACCTCCCTTTTCTGTCAACTCCCGCAGTTTCCTTCAGGACACGTAGGTGTGCGAAAGCACTGGGGTGGAGGGGGTGGCCTCTGGTGAAAGTATCCTGGGAACTGTTGTGAGAAGGAGCTTAGAACATAGTGTCCCATAGAACATCGGCTTCTTTTTTTCCTGTGGCTTTCTCTTTTCCTGTGGTACTGTCAGGGGTTAAACGCTCAGGAGGCCAAATTATACTTGAGCTTCTTGGGGTTAGGGCCTTGTCTGTGCATTTCTTGGAGGTCTTCTTCTTTTCTCAGCTGCCCTTGATTATGTGCGGAGTCACCCCCTGGATCCCATCGACACCGTGGACTTTGAGCAGGAATGTGGTGTGGGTGTTACGGTGACCCCAGAGCAGATCGAGGAGGCTGTAAGTCTTTCCCCAGGCATCGGCTGCCTCTTTTGTCCTGGCTCTGGAAAAGAGTGGCTCAGCTTCTCTCCCAGGAAGACCCAAGGTGAGGGTTTGGGTTTCTAGAATGTCTCTGAATGGGCTTATCTCAACCATATGGTTTGACTTTCTGCAGGTGGAGGCCACCATAAATAGGCACCGGTCCCAGCTCGTGATAGAGCGTTACCGTTTCAACATGGGGCTGCTGATGGGTGAGAGGGAGCTTGGAGCAAGGAGTTATTGCTGGTCATGCCTTATTTTCTGGGCGTGAGTGAGGGGGTGATAGGTGGGGAAGGAGCCGGAGCACTTTTAAAGTGTCATGGTTGGGCCCAGACTTTGATTCCTGTGGTAAGCTAGGACCTTTCCTTGGGGAGGAGGGAAGTGCCCTCTTTTGCCTTCTTGAAGTTTCTTGTCGTCGTGGTCCTAGGAGAAGCTCGGTCTGTGCTCAAGTGGGCAGATGGCAAAATGATCAAGCATGAAGTGGACATGCAGGTAGGCACCTCCCTGAGCTGAGGCTGGCAAACACCCTGGACAGGGCTTGGAATCCAGTGATGGAGAAAAATGGGGAAAAGACCCTGTCCCGTTGGGATGGTAGATAGTGGAACCTGGTGTGGAGCGGGTGTCATCTGACTTTGGCCTCTGGGCTGTCTAGTTTAGGGCCACCCACTTTACTCTGAACCTCTATTTCCTCATTCTATAAGCTGAGGTTATGGGGCCTTCATCTCAAGATGCTGGCATAGACTCATAAGAGAATGTTGGCTGAGGTAGATAGCTTGTCTTTTGTTTTGGTACCAGGGATCAAATTTGGGACCTTGTGCTTGTGAGGCAGGTGGCCGCACCACTGAGCCAAATCCCCAGTCCTGATAACTTCTCTTGATGCAGGACCCACAGTTCTCTGTAAATGGCAGTCTTTGTTCTCTGGGCCCAATATAGACCCTCAGGAAGGAGAAATCATTTGAGGTTTGCACAATCATGTAAGATGTGGTGATGGGCTAGGTTGGTTCCTCTTCTTCTTCTTCTTTTTTTTTTTTTTTTTTTGGT